TATCTCGAACGGTGCCTCTACTTTGTCTCCGCCGACGACTCTTTACGATCGTACAACCTCTGTTACGTCCTACACTAATACAGAATCGAGGGGGTTTGATCTCTTTGACGAAAAATACGAGCTAATTGGCGTGTATTCCGCCGCGGTGGCACCGACCGGCGTTCGTTAGTCACGATATTTCCAGGAGACGTACCGGAATCTGGAGAGAATCGCGCTTTGAGGACGGAATTATTGTCTTTCGTATTATTTCCTACCGAGGCGACCATGCGGCTCGGCCGATCCGTGACGATAATTGCGATCTCGTGTTCTTTATCCGCCTCGTATAGTTATGCATTCGCCGAGGAGAGATCTCCACGAGATACACAAGCATACACACACACACATGTACACGGAGTGCGCGATGCTCCAGCGCAGAATATTAAGTTACCCATCTTGCGCTTCCTAGTGTTTACGTTCGCGTATCTTACGTTTGTCCACGGACGAGATACACGTACGTATCGCGATCCCCGCGTTATTTCGCCTGAAGTCTATCTAAAGTATCAGTGGAATCACATGTAAAATGATACCGTGCATTCCCCCCCCCCCCCTCACTCTTTCTTTCTCTCTCCATCGCTACTGATTCGTGCCGAACAAGTTCTTAATGTATTACGCCGTTAGCTATCTTCGTTCAATCAGTCCCCGCGCAATTATCGCGGAACGAACGGATACGGCAAAGCCTCGCATTTCCGGTACGCTGAATAGTTTCTCTCTCTCTCTCTTTCTCTCTCTCACTCTGGCCGCCTCTCGATGCGTTTCAACGATTCTTCACGCATACGTGTAATAACGTGTAAGTACGGACGGTGTGCGTTTCTGTGTTTCGCGGTTCGGAATGTACCGGTGTAACTACGCTAAACACCGCCTAATGAACGTATACGGGCGGCTCTCTTTGGCACAAAGGTCCTCTCTCTGCTTTATATAAAGCACGAGTGAGTTATTTACATTGTGGTCGACAGAATTTCAAGCTGCGCGAGGTTCTAATGAACCTTTACCTCCCCCAACCACCCAGCCCACCGGCCCATTACCCTCCTCCCCCACACATCGTCCGGCCGAACGGGTTTCGTTCGGATCCTTCGGTGTGTCGGGCCGTTAATTAATTAAAATCCCGAAGCGAAATCCGCATCGTCGCGAATATTTTAGATACCTCAAAAGCTTTATGAGGAAAATACTTCAAACTTCCTGACGCACCCCACCCCGTCCGCGTCTACGTCCACCCTCGGGAAACGGGGATTCATTGCGAATAGCTGTAGAACCTTCGCCGCACGAATATTTACGAAGGGTGGTCGCGAATGCGGCGAAAAAAGAGTATTTAATGAAATGTACGTTCGCCGTGGAAAAGAGAGGAAAGGGGAATGGGAATGGGTGAGAAAGAAAGTAAGAGAGGGGAAGGGAAAGAGAGAGAGAGAGAGAGAGGGGAAAAGGGATACCGCAGAAATCATAAAAATACCGCGAACCAGAAAATCGTAGAATTTCAATGATCAGCGTTTAACCGCTGTCCGTTCAATATCCCTGGGCAACTCGCGCTAACGCGAGTGTTTTTTGCGGCTGCAGTAATCACTCGTTCGTAATTAATAGGTTGGCTCTGCACGTGTTTGAGTGTACACTCAGTTTCCACGGGGATGCCTTACCGTTCAATAGATCGATAGTCACGAAAAATATCCAATCGGTTACGTCTGTTTTTCTAACGACACGTTTTTCGTGACGTTATTAGGAAATTTTCGTGGCAACCTCCATTGCTTCTTCTTTGTGATTATCTGGATTAAATCTAAACGGCATTGAGTTCACTTTTAATATTGTACGATACATATATATGCGTGGTGTGTGTATATTCGGTAATTGTGAAGTCATACAAAGCCGGACAGGTTGTTTCAGCCAGCTGCCGAGTAGGATGTGAATTTGTTCACGTAGAACAGCAACGTAATGCGCAGCAAAACGCGCGAGAATACGGCCCCCGGGCGGCTTATGAATACTCCGCCAATGACGACAACCACTTTTCGAGATAACCTTCAGGTCCCTAATCTCGGTATTCGCCTCTACCCTTTCTACAGCCCATTATTCTCTTCTTCTTCTTCTCTCTCTCTCTCTCCCTCTCTCCGTCCCTTTTTCTCCCTAGGCCGCAAGGTTGAGATTAAAGTCTTTTAACGGCTACACGTCGCGTCCACGTCCAGCCGAGTAATTACGAATATGAATCCCGACAAGCTTTGAAATTTTGGGACATCACTCGACGGCTTAACCCTTTCGGTCCCATTCTTCTTCCGAGGAATTTCAAATATGTTATGATTATTTTATATAGAAATATGCATATGCGCGCGTGTGTGTAAATTAAATAATGCACCAATGCTGTGAATACAACAGCACTTTGTTTTTCTGTGCACGAAAGCTCCGAGTAACAAATTTCTCTTTCAATTGTCGTTTACTATATGATAGAAATTAGAGCTGAGGTTTCATTTGAATTGTTATATTTATAATCAACAGCACAAAATTAGAATCGACGGCTTAGATTCAGGATACATATTTTTGTGCTCACCATTGTAATTATTGTTGAAAATAAATAAAATATCATGTTGTGCAAATTGATCAAACGAAAATCCCGTGTTAGATTAGTTACCGTTTTCTAAGGGGAAAACGTTTTAATTGGTGCTGATATACGACCGAGACAAGCTGCTGCACGGTGCTGCCGTCTCTGTGTACTTTTCTCCGTTCTTATCGAAGAAAAAGGGCACGATTGCGTAGTAATTAATTCGGCGCTGCAACTCGTTAAAACTGCTTTCGCAAGGTGTCGATGATTAACTGTAAGCAACACGAGACGCAAGACTTTTTTCCCCGCTTTTCCCGACGATGCCTATTATAACTGGCTTTTGTCAGTTTCCAGTCCAGCGCAAGAGAAGAACGTCTAGATTAGACCGGAAGAACTTTAATTATAGTATATTTGAGCGGCATAGCCAAAAGAGCGCCGTCGCGGAGGAAACGCGAGAAATGTGAAAATATATATCAGTCCGAAGTCAATTTCCAAACTTTAGAATTCATCGGGTGTGTAAATTAATTCACGGCATTTTCGTTACCAAAATTCGAGATTTATTTACCAATAGGAAGTGTGGAATTTTAACATATCAAATATTCTCCGTCATTACCGATGACCTGACACCATCTATCAGGCAGCTGTCGAATTTTATCGCGATAAAAATTTGGTTTCGAATCAATCCAGTCATCGATAAATCGTTCAACATCTCCTATCGTTTTAAAACGCGCGTCAGTTAAATAGTGACGCTAAGGCCCTACGCAATAACGTAACTGTTACACAACACGCGTGTTACGTAACAGTCACATTATTATATCGGAACGAAAGAAAGCAAGGTCCGATTTTAACACAAGTGTAAAATACGTTTTTACTATGTAGAAACGAACGTAACTGAAGGCACCGAATTCACTTGCACACTTAACAGTTAATAATCGAATTTAACGAAACCGTCCGAGATATTCTCGTTCTCCGAAGATGCAAACAATTTACCACCCACGAGCGAGACCAACCCCTCGACGAAACTGCTCGAGCTCGGTAGGGACGCATGTGAATTTCTTCCGCGCTAATTGAATCATTACGCGGGCCCTACCGCGACATACACGTGGGCGCCTGATCTCCACTCGGCCTCCTCAATTATCAAGCTCAACTGTTACGCGCGCAGTTTGCGGCGCGCAGTTCGCGGCGGTCCGATAAACTACCCCCTCCCACGGGCTGAAAATCCCGGACCGGCGAACACTATCCCCGAAAAATACGCCGACCGCGGAAAGCTTAGCATCTCCGTAGGGTGGTATTATCCGCGAGCGTCGGGCAAATCCCTGCTTCTGCACGAGCCAACGCTTGGCTGAGGCAGATTGGCGCGGGAGATCAGCAAAGCGGGCAGCAAGCGAGCCGCCTTGCCGGCGAAGTTTAATCAGCCGTACGTATCGTTCGCGCCACCCACGGCTGCACCCTTGGCGCGACGCACTTAATGGCAGCCTTCGCGAGGAATCGATGCTACTAGAAACTCACTGTAAAATCCGCCACCTAAACCGCGAGACAAAGTTGCCGTGTCGTCGGACGAATGGGTGCATTAGCGCGAGTTCGAGGAGCGCGGCCCCGATATATGTCGTCCGTGCGTGAAGTTCCGCGAACTTGCGGATTACACGGATCGCAGTCAACGACATCTCCATGCACGGCTGCCTCGAGGATGCTGGATCTAGATATCGATCCTTCGTCGTTCATTCGCAGCCCATTCCGGCGTGTGTTCGCGAAATCGTTGAATTCAGTGAAATATTTCATGTAAAATTACGCCGTCAAACGTGAGTCAAAGAAAGCCAGGCGGGTGAAAAGCAATTTTACAGCTGTTACAGCGAATAAAATTAATATATTTTGAGAATAAATCGATTTTATATCTCTTAAGTACCGTCCGACATTTCGGCAGTTGATTTTTGCGATCGCAAAGAAATGAACATACAGTGGCTAACGAAAGTATTCGAACGGTTGGATTTCTTATTTTTAGCATAGAAAATATGTATGTTAATCTTGAATATTTAAAAGAACTTAGTATCTACAGCAAGAAGGAAATACCAAGATTGTGTGTCAGTAAAATTAGAAAATAATCCAATCGCATATACAGTGTTTACAACATATTTATTTGAAATATGCACCAGGCATAGGTAACAAAAAACTACTCGAACGCCGGAAATATTGTTACATTTTTATGTATGTTCATGAGCTTTGTTTCTTAAAACGACCTGAAAAAATCAACTCTTAAAATAATGGATATTACTTCAGAAACGTCCTGTATATTTATTTATCCGCCTACGGCAGCATAAAAGTTGCTCTACATCATGTTTCTCCGTGTAACATCTTCGAAAACGATCGGGCGACGAAGAAACAAGGATCTTAGAATCGGCCCCTTCTCGCATACGTAATTCCGGGAATTATAATTTCGGAGTGCGCTCACCTTTGTTGATTATTATTCGGGGTGGGCATGGGAGTCGGCACTCTTGGCGGCGGGACTGGTATGGCTTTCCTCCGGCCTCCGCCGGTTTGATGCACCGTCGGCGTGACTCTTCCGGTTGGCGCTATTCTGCCGGCGGTCCGCGGTCTTTCCGTTCGCACTTCCATGTCGCGTGTCTGCGAATAGACAAAACAATGCGTTAATAACAAATTCGCAGTTTGCCGTCTGAGATATCCGTTCATCGGAATATCGCGGGTGAAACGGTAGAAGGAGGGAAATGAGGGAGAGCGGATTAAATTCACGTGGGGAACGTTCGCGCACAAATCGTTTGTCTTACATTCTTTTTTCGTTCACCCCCCCCCCTCCCTCCCAGTTGTATCAACAAT